AGTCACACAGCTAGTAAGTGTCAAGTGTTTGGTCTGAGGCCAGATTTGAACTCAGGTCCTCCTGACTTCAGGGCCAGTGCTCTATCCAGTGTGCCACCTAGCTGCCCCTGTAACAATAATTTTTAAAACATTGAGTTCCAAATTCTCCTTCTCCCTCCTACCACTTCCCCCTCCTTGAGAAGGCAAACAATTTAATATCAATATTACATGTGAAGTCATGCAAAACATATTTCCATATTAGTTATGTTTCAAAGAAAGCAAAGTAAAACAATGAAAATCAAGAAAGTTAAAAAAAATGCTTCAATCCACATTCAAATTGGGCATAGTTCCAAACTGTTCTCCAGAATTGTTGGACTGGTTCACAACTCAACCAATAATGCATAGCAGTCCCAATTTTTCCATATCCCCTCTAGCATTTGTCATTTTCTTTTAATATCATGTTACTCAATCTGATAGGTGTGAGGTGGTATCTCAGAGTTATTTTAATTGGTATTTCTCTAATCAGTAGTGATTTAGAGAATTTTTCATGTAACTATTAATAGCTTTAATTTCTTCTAAAAACTGCTTGTTCATATCCTTTGATCATTTATCAGTTAGGGAGTGACTTGTATTTTCTTATAAATTTAGATCAATTTCCTACATATCTGAGAAATGAGGTCTTTATCAGAGAAACTTGCCACAAATCCCCCACCCCAAGTTCCAAGAGCAATTAATATTTCTCCAGCTGTTTAGATCTGTTTCAATTTGTGTGAAAAGTGCTTTGTAATTATGTTCACATAATCTCTAGGTTTGTCCTGACAGGTAGACTCCCAAGTATTTTATATTGTCTGTATGGAGGGATTTGAATGTCAGTATAGGATTTAGTATTTTATCCTACAATCAAAATGGAGTAAGTCAAGTAGATGGCACAGTGGATACAGTGCCAGGCCTGAAGTCATGAAGACTCATCATCCTGAGTTTAAATCTAGCTTTGGATGCTAGCTCTGTGATCCTGTTTGCCTCAGTTCCTCCTTTGTAAAAATAAGATGGAGAAAGGGTGGGCAAATCACACCAGTGTCTTTGCCAAGAAAACCCCAAATAAGGTCATGAAGAGTCAGACTCAACTGAAATGTCTCAACAACAACAACATGGACTTCCTGAAGCTTCTTTAATAAGCAAATGGCTCAAAGAGGCTCAAACTACTAGCTAAGTTTAGGTGGTTGTTTTGTGTGTATGTGTGTATGTGTGTGTTTGTGTGTGTGTCAAATGCTCATAAGAGACAATGGGCAAAGAACTTTCTAGAACATGTATTTTGCTGAAATTAAATATGGTTTCTCATCCACACAGGCAGACTTGTGGGAGGGTGAAGAGTTTCCTATGGCTTGTTGTGACTCAAGTCCTGTTTTATGCTTTTAATTGTAGACCTCGACATACTCATGTATTTTTAAATCACTAATTATGACTCAGTTCCCTTAATCCACTTTAGGAGAGATTTCTACAAGCATGGCTCCTTAAAATTCCATTTGGGACAGCCTGCTTAGTCTGTGTAGGAGATCAAGTTGATTCTTAAATTTGATTAGCATGTGAACTGATGAGTACATGGATTATTACCTTATATCAACAATTCAGACAAATAGAAGAACATTGTGAAGATACAGAAGAAAGAAAAAAGCATTTCCAATTTATTCTTCATAGTCTTTTTAAAAAATCCATATTTTTTCAAACACACACAAATACAGAATAAGCTGTTTCAGCTCCCACAGAATTCAAGGGTTGCCAATATAATAGAGTTTAGTCTTTGGAAAGGTATAAATATGGTGAATTATTTAGGCACTGGGGTTGCCAAGAGCTGGAAGATGGACAGGAGAGGAGAATCAATTCTTTCTGGTCATAGAGTAGCTTTTCCCCCATACCCACAGCCCCCTTGACATCTGTTCCTTTGCATACTGAGTCAGAGAATCACAACAGCAACTGTGTTCTTTGTCAGTTCCTCCATTGTCCTAGCTCCTCTGCATGGCAGCTCAATAAGGACCTGCAATTCAGTGCATGGGATTGGCAAGATAATAGTATTGTTCAGGGGCCTCTGAGGGAAAATGTAAAAGTGATGAAGAGGCGCATTCCTTCCTGTACTTCATGACCATTCCTTTCCCATCCCAAAATTGTTTTTGGCCTGTGAAGTTATTGAAAATATCTATATTTAATGGGCACTTGTGGGGAATTTCATTTATGTCTGTAAGTCACCAAGTATTATCCTCCTAATTATAGTTGACTTTGTTTCCTAAGATATTTTCAGTCTGTTATTTGCTTGCTTTCATGTTCTTGTTACTCAGTAGTGTCCAACTGTTCATGACCTATTTGGGTTTTTCTTAACAAAGATGCTGGAGTGGTTTGCCATTTCCTTCTCCAGCTCATTTTACAGATAAGGAAACTGAGGCAAACAGTGTTAAGTGACTTGCCCAGGGTTACACAACTAATAAGATTCTGAGGCCACATTTGAACTCAGGAACATGAGTCTTTGTGACTCCAAGACTGGCATTCTATCCACTGTACCACCTAGTTGTGCAAGATCAATACAATTATTTCTGATTCTGATGGTTGTACTGTAAATCTGTATATCTGGAAAGTCAAACTAGGTTATCACAAACCTATGAGAAAGAAGAGTTACATCCTCAAGTCAATTAGATGAAGCAATGCTTATCATCATCATTGAAAGAATGAGAAAACATCATTCACTGAGTCCTTTTCATGTGCAAAACATAGTGTTAAACATTGGTGATAGAAATACAAAAGCTGCACAGTCCCTGCTTCAGAGGAACTCAAATGATAATTAAGGAAACCACACCTATCTGAAGATTCAGTTTCAGGGTGAATAGAAAGTCCCAGGAGTCCTGAGAGTTCCATGTCAGCTTAGATGGAAAGGCCCAGGAGTCCTTAAAGTTCACCATCTGGGCATCATTGTCATCATCACCAACAACAGAAATAATAATAGCAATAAATGCAAAAACTCTTCCTCTTCCCCCTCCTCACATTTCCATCAGTTTACAAAGCATTTTCTTTGTGTGTGATAGTTCCTCTGCTCTTTCTCAAGTAAGGCTTCATTTAGAACGTTGTGTTCATTTCTAGGTATCAAAGTTTTGGAAGGGTGTTATAATAAGTATATTGCATAGTCTGCAGAGGACAGCCACCAAGAGAGCAGAGGGACTCCACATGAGGATCGTGAAAGGCACTGGGGATGTTTGTCTGGTGAAGAGAAGATTGAGTGGGATGATATTGTAGCTGCCTTCAAGTATTTGAAAGGCTGTGAAGTGGAAGAAGGATTAAATTAATTAGTTTAATTCAAGAAGAGAGAACTAGAAAAACAAGTGGAAGTTGCCAGGAGATGAATCTATTGTCAGGAAACAATTTTTTTTTCTAATGATGGTAGCAACCCAGAGTGGAATAAGCTGCCTTGGACAGCAATGGGTAGTAATTCACTTGGGGCCTATATATGAAAGGCAGATGAGCACTTAGGAGGGGGGGATTTTATAGAGGAAGTTCTTTTCCAAACATGAGTTAGACTAGATGACTACTATGGTCTGTTTCACCTGTGAAATTCAATGACTCTATAAAATGGGGGGTGGAAGTATCATTATATTTATCACGCAGATGAGGAAACTGAGGCCCAGAAAGGCAAAATAACTTGATCAGCACCACACAAGTTTTATGGGTCAGGCCATGAAGTTAAACTGAGAATTGGCATTTTTTAGAGAAAGCTGGACCTGGAGGTAGGAAGAACTGAGTCCAAATCTGGCTTCAGACACCTACTAGTTGCATGATCCTGGGCAAATATATTAATCACTGCCTGTCTAAGTTCTCTAATCTATAAAATGAGTGTATTAATAGTATCTACTTCCTAGGGTTGTTGTCAGGATCAAATGAGCTAGTATTTGTAAAGTGCTTACATAGTGCCTGGCACATTGTAGGTGCTTAACAGGTTTTTTTTTCCTTCCTTCCTTGCTTGCTTACTTCTTTCCTTCATTTTTCCCTTCCTTCTCCATCCTCCTTCATTCATTCTTTACTTTCTTGCTTCTTCCCTTCTTTCCCTTCCTCCTTCCTTCCTTCCTTCCTTCTTTCTTTCTTCCCTCCCTCCCTCCTTCTCTTCTATTATCCCACACCTCAGGACAACAACACGGAAATAGTCATCACGACTTGTTTGGTGGATTTCTTTGTTGGTAGTGATGGGAATTTGACAGACACTGTTAGGAGGTGTTGGCTAGCCCTCCTTTTCACTCAGATTGCTTGAATCGGTTTTTGGAGTGGGTATACCAGGTCTGTCTCTGTTCTGGGATGGAATGGGCTCTGCCTGCATTCTGAGTGCTCAGCTGATCACTGTTTTTATTACCGTTTTGTATTCATAAACTGTTTTCCCTCTAGGAAGCTTGGTGACAAGTAATGTATTTCTTTTCACTTTCAGGCTGCTCTGCAGACAGCCGGTTAGGCTGTTGCCAATTAGTGTCTGCAGGGTTGGCAGTAGGGGTGACAGGCAGCCAAGCCCACGTGCCTTTTGCTAAGGCTTCTGGAGGCCTGTTTGGGTGGTGGTGACTCAGCTGCCACCACTGAAGCCTGCTCCATACATGTGGGTGTGTTGGATTCTTATTTTCCATATGTGATACTATGGGGCAATCCAAAGACAGCTGTATTTGGAGCCGGAGGGCCTGGGTTCAGATTTGAATTTTGCTGCCTGTGTGATCTTAGGCAAATCACTTAACCTCTCTGAGTCTCAGTTTTCATCTCCAAAATGGTTACATTGAACTAGATGGCCTCTGAGATCAATCCCCTCCACCTTCCAATTTGTTTTTGTATGACTCAATAATTTATGGGGTCCCATTCAGCTTTAAATTTAGGGTCCTAAAGTGTTAGAATCCATTGACCAACAAGCATGTATGTAAGACATAGCTGGAGATGACCAAGTCCTTCTCACAGTCTCTTTCTAGAAGCATATCATTGCAAATGATTCTATTATTTTTAAAAAATCTTTGCAGGTGTCTAACCTCTACCTGTACGACAGTGTGTTGATGCTGGCAAATGCCTTCCACAGAAAGCTGGAAGATAGGAAGTGGCATAGCATGGCAAGCCTGAACTGCATGCGAAAGTCCACCAAACCTTGGAATGGGGGCCGATCCATGCTCGACACTATCAAGAAGGTACTGATTGGGAAACTCCCATCTCAAAAAAAAAAAAAAGGCTGGGCACCATTTCTTCAGTGGTTTGGGATGTAAATATTAATTTTCTTTTCTATTCTAAGATTAATCCTTCTGGATAGAGCAAAGTCCTAGACTAAATGGCTACTTTTATAGCCTAGTGGTTGAGTTGAGTGCCATGTAACAAATTCCCTAGTTTCCTATTAGCCTCTAACTCAATTTTGATTTTAATCTGGATAAAAGTTGATACCATCATGGAAACTATTCTCGGAACTTGGCACTGTGTTGTGTTAATAAGATGGGAATGTGTATCTAAGGTGGGGCAACTCAGGCTGTTCTAAATTCATGATGGTTTCCTGTGCTGAGATATCTTATGAATTTCTGATGGAAGGAAACTTAGGAAGTTAGATTATAAGTAAATTGGAGAATCCACAGAAGACTTGTTAAATTGAATTGGCCTTTAGAAATTGTGAAAGAGCACTTAGGGAAATCTACAGTGTTTGGAGTTTTATCCTCAATAATCCTCAGAGTTTCAATAACAGTGAAAATGTATTGGTGTCAGTTTGAATCAACTGGCATCATGATGAAGAGCTAAGAATCCTTGCTGGGGGAAGTTTATTCAAGGAGAGAAAGTGATAAGATAAGAGTACTGGAGTATGGTTTCCATGCTTTTTTATGTTTTCCTTTGGGGTTAACAAATACCCTTACTCTAGCTTCTTGTACATATGGGGAAATGCTTTATAGCTCACCCAATTATTACTGATTGGATACATTTATATAAACTCTCCATATCTAATGATTTTGCTTCTCTTGGTGGGTAGAAATATCAGCTACCTAAAGGAAAGACAACCAGATAAGTTACTCATGGTTGGGGGAATCAGAGCTATAATTTGTCTTTCCTTCAATTTAACCAGAGAATTGTTGCAGTGGCACAGTCTGAGAGGAGTGCTGAACCGATGAGTTGGCATCCCTTGTAGTTTCTAAAGTTCAGAAATCAAGATGACCTCATTGAAGCTAGTGTCCTGGATGAAGATGGGTCCTTTGTGAAGGTCCCTGGGCTAAGCCTGGGACTTAGCTAACTCAGTAAGATGAATGAATGTATGTATGTATGAATGAATAAGTGAATGAATGAAATGATTACTTCTTACTATGTATAAGGCACTGGAGATACAAATAGAAAAGTGAGATAACCCCTGCTCTCAAGGAGTTCATATTCTAATGTGAGAGACAGCGTATGTGGAAGGCTTCAGCTGCAAATTACGTGGAAAAGTCCCAAGGTACGGTGGCAGAGCATATGGTAATGCTTATTCAAGATCCTTCACTATTATCCAAGTCTTCTCAAGCTATTTTCCCTTCATCTCTCTATAAGGTCCTTAGTATCCCTTGTGGGAGAAATACTGCTGTCCATTTCCTTTTACCCTCTCCCAGACGTTCCTCCTAATCTGACAGAGAAGTGATGTTTTCTACTCTCTTTGGCAGGGCCACATCACTGGCCTCACAGGGGTGATGGAGTTCCGAGAAGACAGCTCCAATCCCTATGTCCAGTTTGAAATTCTCGGCACCACTTACAGCGAGACTTTTGGCAAAGACATGCGCAAGGTAGGCCCCCTAAGATGCCTATTATTCATTGCTTGAAGTGTCACATCCTAGTCCAAAGAGATGACAACAGAAGGAAGGAAATAGGGACCAGAGTCTTTTTTTTTCCTTGCCTGCTGTGCAAGGTTTAATTAGTGTTGAAAGAATGTCTTAGCATTTCTCTTACAATGAAGCATTCACAGTGTATGCTAGATGGTAACTGCAATGCCTAGGGATAGTAAACAAGCAAGAAGTACTTTGTAATGCATTCTCTCTGCATGCATCAAATAGGGTTTGGGACAGAGAGTGTGGCTGTTGCTTTTCAAGAGACTTATAACTGATTTGATTAAAGAAATTTGCTCTAATCAGTAACAAATTTAGAGAATGAATGACCTCATCAAGTCTTACACACATACGCATATCCTTACCCATATGTATAGCCACAGACACATGTATGCAGGTGCACACACACACACACACACACACACACACCCCCCCTCCATAACTGCTCAGATGAAGGCACCCTCTTACATATTCATTTTACCTGCACACATATGTTCACACTGGCTGGCACACTTCTGTATAAGGAATACAATTCCAAAAGATGGCACCATCTGTTGGTGAGCCTTTGGCATTGTCCTCTTTCCTGGAATATCAGGTAGAACAGTCTATCCATACATAGAGTTCCAACCTCGTGCTTCAAAAGAAGGGGTTTTAAAAGGAGCATCAAGTCTGTCAAATTGTCATTCTGATTCCTATCTGACCTGACTATGAATTCATTGGTGCAGGACACTCTCAGATGAGGAAAAATCCTGCCAGTGTGGTTAGGGGTCCTTTCTCCATCTTGGAGATTGCCTATAGCACTGGTTAAGCAACTGGCTCAAGGTTATTTAGAGAGTATTTTCTAGAGGCAGGATTTGAACCCATGTCTTCCTGCCTTTAAAATTCAACTCTGTCATCTGCACCCTGCCTCTTCCAGTAAGTAGAAGGAATTTAAAATGAGGGAAGAAAGAGAAGAAAAGAGTTGCTCAGAAGAGAAAGCAAAGGATCCTGAGATAATCACTGATATAACCAACCTCTGATTTAACAGAACAGGCATTTAAGTGACCCTATGTGTCAGAGGTGGTGTTAAGTCCTAGGTGTAAAAAAAAAAAATGGCTTCTTGCCTCAAGGCCCTTACATTTTTACCCAGCTCTGAATAGCCAGTTCTGATTATGCTCTGTTATTTTTCCTCCCTGCATTATGAAAACTTCCTTCCAACTAGAAAACTTTATTTTATCATATTTTGACTGATTGAGTTGAGATGGGCAGCCTGAGAAGTATCCCTTGGGAGCAAGGAAGATTGAATAGACACTAATAAAAACCCAGATTTATATTCTAGAGATAGTGCAACTTGTAGAGAGTGGGTTTCAGTCATCACCATTAAAATATTAGCTTCAGACCATATTGGCACCAGATTTCAGCTCATAGTGGGACCTTTTCTAATACAGTGGCAGCAACACAGCCACCTTTGTGCACATACCCACATACAGGCTCACCTGAACTCATATTGCTTTTCAACTGTGTATTTGGACTGGAATCCAGAGAAGGTCATAAACTAAGGAAGGGAAGACTGGGAAATTAAAGAGGCAGGTTGTGTATTTAGATTAGTTTGCAGAGTAGGAACAGTTGGGTGGCAGGTGGAAGGTAGCAGGTAGAGTGGCTAAAAATGCACTTCAAGTGCATGATTTGTTGGCTATGTCTATAGTGATAAGAAAAATGTCCCAAGCTGACTTTCTGACGTAAAGTTGGAAGCTTCCCAATACAAGAATTGTGTTAGATTAGCTGTATTTGCCTCTCTTTTTTGAGTGGAGAAGAATAGAATCAGAAGAGCAGAATGAATGAATGAATGAATGAATGAATGAATGAATGAATGAATGAATGAATGAATGAAAAAGCATTTACTAAGTACCTACTGAGTTAGGTGAAGAGGATATAAGAACAAAAGTAAGACAGCCCCTGCCTTCAAGTAGCTTATATTTGAACATGGTTAGATACCACATGTAAGGGAAGGCAGTTTTGATCAGGAGGATCATAGGGATAGTGAGTGATGGTTATAGTTATAGGAATGTAGTGAGTTTGATAATAGGTCTGAAGCAGCAGCCTGGCCACCAGGAAAATAAGCAGAAGTGGGTTAGTCAATCTATAATTCTATGGCCATGGACACTCGGGGCAAAGATTATTGGTTCTTTTTCATTGAATAATGTTACCATGGGGTGATCAACAAGAATTGGTGGACTGATCAATGATGTCAGAAGTTGGTGGTATTATCAAGGGTGATCAGAAATTCATCTTTGATGTCATTCTCTCATGAGGATTAATATATAGAGAAGAGAGGTTCTTAATATGTTTGACGGTGACAATGTGACTGCACAGTGGCCATGGCACCTCAGAGCTCTGGAATACATTGTGAACCTGCCATCCAACTCTGATTGATGTTAAAGTCCAGTCCAGGGTTGGCTCTAAAGCATATAACTATAGAATCATTGATTTAGAGGTGAAGGACCTGGGTTCAAACCTTCTCTGTCGCTCTCTACTGGTGTGTCATTCTGTACTTGGGCAAGTCACTTCACCCTCATGGACCTCAGCTGACTTCTATAAAATGAAGTGATTAGTCTGGGTGGCCACCAAGGTCCCTCATACCTCTAAAAATGTAACTTAGAGGGAAAATCAGGAGACAGACAGACAGACAGAGACAGAGACAGAGGGAGGGAGAGAGAGAGAGAGACAGAGATAGAAACAGAGAAAGGAAGAAAGGGAAAGAGGGAGGGAGAAAGAAGGAAGTTGTAAAAAGGAAAGTATAAAAATGTATATTTTAGAACTATAAAGGATTTTAGTAGTCATATAGTTCAAACCTCTCATTTAAAGAACAGAAAATTGATGCCCAAAAAGGAATCTCTTCCAAACATGTGGAAAGGGGGAATGAGTTTGTCATAGAAAAATCACTATGATACCAATCTCCACCCAGAATACCTCATGTGTTTCAACCAATAGACAAATATTAATTAAGTAGTTCATATTTGCTAGGTGCTATGTTCAGTGTTGGGAATAAAAGGAAAAATAAGCAAAACCAGAAACAGCCCCTGCCATTAAGGAGCTTACATTCCAATATGGGAGGCCACATATATAGACCTTTGTACATACAAGAGAAATACAGAGTAGATGGAAGGTAGCCTTATAGGGGAAATCACTGGTACTGAGGAGATGAGGAGAAGCCTCCTGCAGGAGATGGAAGTTGAGCTGAGTGTTCAAGGAAGCTAGAGATTGTCAGAGGTAGATGTTAGGAGGGAGACCACTACAGCCATGGGGAATGGTCACTTGTAAATGCTTCCCGTAATCACCTGGATATTACTGGGGTAAATAGGCGGGCTTCCATTTTAGAACTGGCTACTTCCTAACCAGTGAGCAGTCAAGCCCATCTCCTGGTAATGCTGGATGCCTCTCTAGGAGTCTAAGAGAGGCCTAGGAACACTGCTCTCCACTTCCTGTTTCAAGTGTCTGGGCTTTCCACCGTTACCAAGGAAACACTCATCAAAGCCCCTGAGACCAATGGGAGTTCCAGTGTGTCTCTCTGTCTTACCAGGGCAGGATCTCTGAATGTAATTGAGTTGGAGGAGAAGCTGACTTCAGAGTGGATTTTATTCTAAATTGTATTCCTTTGTCACTTTTAAAAATCCTCCTTTCACAACAGCGTAGGCCATTCATTATATGGTAGTTTAGCAAGCTTATCAACACTGAGAAGAAGTTATCAGGAAAGGAATGAACAGCATTGACTGTAGTATCACATGTTTATCATTTAAGAAATGGGGATATTAAAAAAAAAGCAAAAAAATAATCTGAGTGATTTCAGAATGAATCAAGGAGAGATGATTAGATTTCTCCACTAGTGGGGAGGGTAAATGAAGAGACTGGAGATACTGAATGAGGGTTTATGTTTGAGATGAGGTAGGCTTATTCCGGTTAAGTGTCTCATCCCATAACAGTAGGAAGGAAGAGAGGGGGAGATAACGGAGGGAGAGGAATGACAAATCCGAAATGGGAAATAGTATTCAAATTAAAGGCCATGTGGAGAAAAGAGAAGATAGAAGGAAGGGCAGATAGGAAAAGACATTAAATCTTTAGAGGAAGAAAGAGGAATAGAAATGATCACTTCTATTAACAGCATAAATCACGTGTGAAAAAGACTGTATGTAGCAGATAAATGAAAGCAAATGAAGACCAAACCAAACTCTTGTAAACTAAGCATCGGAAATAATATTTTGATAATGAGTGAGGAGACCCTACAATTAAAAATAATCAATAATGAGGGATAAAGACTACAAGCTAGCTTCTATGGTGTTTAAACCAATGAGATTAATTTAAAACCAGGGAACAAAAGGATGGATTAAAAAGAAATTGTACCAAAGTAAAGCCATTGGAAGAATTTAAAATTAAGTGGTTTCAAGAGACTGTGCAGAATCATCACTGACTCCCCAGGAAGAGAAAGAGAGTTGGTACTTTTCCCCTAAGTGAAAGGGTGATGATGGACAGTGTAGAATCACATGATATTATCCTGGAAGCACTGACTTGAAGAGAGAGAGAGAGCTCTAGATGGAGAATCAGAAGCCATGGATTTTATTTCTCATTACCACTAGCTTTGCCATATAAACCCAGATAAAATCCCAATCATCTCTGTGTTCCAACAAATCTTGGGCAGGGAAAACAATCATGAGATGTCATTGTGCATAGGAGACGACGTGTCTGAAGCACCACTCATGTTTGTTTTAGCTGAACTTGATCTAGCACTAATCTTTGAGCTTTTTTCCCAGCCCTTTGGGGATATTTTTGTGAGGGTTCTGGATTCCTGTACTAGAGGATTTCCTTTACTTTGCTTTCATTTTCTGCTCCTTTCTTCCACTTTACCTCTCTCCTTCTATACCTTTTCCTCTCTTCTCCTCTCTCCTTTCTTTTTTCTTTATTCCTTTTATTATTTTTTTTTAGTACCC